AAGTCCTAAAGCCATGACAGTCAACAAGCATGTCAAGTTTGGGACAGTTTTGACAAAGTACAGTCGAGTTACAACAGCTTGATGGATGATGGTGAACCATGTAAAATGGCCGTCACAACATATCCGTCGTTCGATGAAACCTAAAGCTTTTAGTAACTTTTAATCGCTAAGGTCTTTAGATTGTTCTGACCAAATTCTAAGCTGATTGGATTAATTCCCTAGGAGGAGTTCGTAGTACAGCACCTGGAAATGGAAAAAAAACACGAGACATTCATACAAAATTCAAAATGGCTGACTTCCGGTTGGGTTTAGAGCATGGTCCCAAGAGACTTTATTTTAAGTCCACATGTGATACATGTGCCTACCAAATTTTGTAAATCTATGTGAAACGTACAGCGAGGGCTGCTTCGTTGAAATTTTGTAGGGGGTGCTATTGAGCCGATTTGCCACTCTGAACCAATAAAATCATATTATATAACTACATTTTGGGCTTTAAATGTGTATGCCAAGTTTGGTTATGTTTCGAGCATTTCTAGCCTCTCAAAAACACCTTAATTTTTCATGGTGAAGAATGCATCGCCACGGCAACAGCTTTTCACGAAACAACAAGCTTTGAGTAACTTTTCATCACAAAGGTCTTTAGACTGTACCGACCAAATTTGAAGTTGATCTGATTAATTCCCTAGGAGGAGTTCGTTAAAGTCCAGCGCCTGGAAATGACAAAAACGACACTAGAAATTCATAAAAAAATTCAAAATGGCTGACTTCCGGTTGGGTTTAGAGCATGGCCCCAAGAGACTTTTATTTAAGTCCATATGTGATACATGTTCCGACCAAATTTCATACATCTAGGTCAAACATACTTCGAGGGCTGCTTCGTCAAAATTTTGTAGGGGGCGCTATTGAGCCAATTTTCCAATCTGAACCAATAAAATCATATTCCATAACTAAATTTTGGGCTTGTAATCTGCTTGCCAAGTTTTCTTATGTTTCGAGCATTTTTAGCCTCTCAAAATGACCTTCGTTGTTAACGGCAAAGACTGCATCACCACGGCAACGGCGTTCGACGAAACATCAAAAGCTTCATGAACTGGTATTATGAACTTCTTACATTTGTGTGGAAGTAATTTGATGTTGATTTGATTTACCTACTAAGAGAAACAAGCCAAAGTATAATGACTTTAGCTTCCTGTTACCACTAGGTGGCGCTATTACTATGATTCTAAATTATCACATAGATGTGTTCCGGGTCAGGATGTTATGACATATGAGAGATTTGGAGCAGATTCGACAATGTACGGCCGAGTTACAACCACTTCCTGTTTCACGGCGAATGGTGTTTTTTTGACGCCACGCCACGGACACATAGTTCGATAACTTTTTGATCTTTGAGTAACTTTTCACTGCCAAGGTCTCAAGAGCATACTGACCAAATCTGAAGTCAATCGGGTCAAATCTCTGGGAGGAGTTCGTTAAAGTATGACGCCTTGAAATGGTCAAAAAACGTCATAAAAGTCAAAATGACCGACTTCCTGTTTGGTTTAATGAAAACCTCCAAGAGGATTTTTTGTGCGTCTCATCACGTTCCACATACCTACCAAATTTCATACAGCTAGGTGAAACCCGATGTTGGGGCTACTCAATAGGGGGCGCTATTGAGCCAATATTTCATACCGCAGCTGGACACCCCAATCAGACTGCATTTTTTCGCAAATTCTGGCTTGCGTGCCAAATTTCACAAAATTCCCAGTATCCCAAGCCCCTCCTTTTTGCGATGAAAGTGGAAAAGTAATAATAATAATAAACATTAGAATAACAATAGGTCCTCCGCTCTGACTACGTCGGTGCTCGGGCCCTAATAAATGCTGTTTTTCAACGGCGTGCAACTGAACTCTGAGCATTGGAAAAAGAAGGAAATGGCTCGTGTGAATGCAGTGTCCTGATTTTAAGTTTACAGATCTGTATTCAGCCAGCAGTATATATACGACAAGTTTGGCAGAGCTAAGCAATGGTATTTCCGTTTTCTCTCTTTTTGAACAAATTGTTCGACAAGTTTCAGGAAGTTTATTATAAAGCTTTTTGGAAGAGTTCATGCCCATGAGGTTGGCAAAAACTACTCAACCTAAAGAGGTAGATGTAATCCTAAAAGTACAGTGAAAACATGGAAATCACCAGATTTGGACACAGTGTGACATGAAAGCCTTTCTTCTCGCTTAAGCATTAAACCAATAGTATACACAGCCCACAAGATTGCAATCAATTCTGAGGAAAAAAACTTGTGCGGCAATCTGAATGCCAGGCACACAGAGCAGAATACCTTTGCCTGTACACTGTGCAGCTTTCGTTATGTAGAGGAAAGGGAGAGATGCTGCGGAGAAGATTTGAAATATGTTCTTGAATCTTTTGAGTTTTAAAAGAAACCTCCATGAGAATGTCAAATATATTGACATTTCTTTCATTTTTTTCAGGAAAAAGTTTCTTTGCTTTTGATGTCTTTCTCCCAAGACCTCTACAGATTGTTTAGCAAACTTAACTGTTGTGTCTTTCTTTTTTTTTTATCTCTAACTGTTTTGTAGTAGCTCTATATCCAACCTACATCTGCCTCAACATACTCCGCAGTAACCCTGTCAAGAGGGACATTTAAATATATCTTTTGTTTTTAAATGATTGCTATTTAGGCCTCGGTACATGTTAGCACTAAGAGGCAGACGCCCCCATTTAACACACCCGACAGACAGCTTAAAACAAAGAACTGCAGCACAAAAAAAACCAGAGGAAATTTTGCTCAACCTTTTAACAAGTGGGCGAAGTGAGAGCTGCAATTAAATGAGGTATGAAAGGCTTAGACTCCATCATCCCAGACAACCATCTTAATCCTATACAGGGTTGTTGTGTTTTGCAAATAGCGTGCTGTGCACAGCGGGTCTTGTTTTTAATCATGTCAAATATTTCACCAAGCTTTATTGCTGTCTTTGGCTTTGACTCCCATGAGGTGACCGTCCACCCACAGGGCAGAAAGCCCGATCAATACACCTCTCTCCTGAACTAACGTGAACCAGAAGGTGGTGTTAGTCATTCTATTTTAACTAAACAAAGCATCTCCTTATTAGAGCTTTGTCGAAGTGCTTGTCAGGTGATTATCAATTCTTATCAGTCAAGTGGAAACTTGCAAATTGACAATAACTTTTAATCTAACAAAATTGAATTCGATGAGATTATCTTTGTCTAAATTAAATGTGCGTGGTTTAGTGTGTTAAAACTCCCTGCAGATAGCTGCAGAAACTCCACTGATCTCTTTGCGTTTACAGCTGCTAATGTTGTGAAAATTAATCATAATTTTTATCTACATAGTATCGCAGCACTTGGAGCACTTTGAAGACCGAAAATTCATGATGGTGCTAGCGATATATATTTACTGGACTGCAGCAAGCTCTGTTCCATAAAAACAGCATCGCACTCTAGAGTATGATGCTGTTTTATGGAACAGAGCGATCAATATCATAAATATATAAAGTTGGATTGTTTTTTCTTTTTATTGTCTGATTATATGCTCTGCATACTGGAGCAACTTCACTGCACTGGAGAGCACTTCACCACTTGACACCGCTTCTGTGTCGCGGTACTTGTGAATGATTGTTCAGGAAAAGACACCTCTGACAGCTTATCATATGCCAGGTTGAGGCAGGCTTGTCAGTAAGCTAATGGAGTGTTCAAAGGTTAATTTACTACCATATGAATCCCATCAATAAGCAATTAAGTGGTGTGGAAACACAGAGGCACCACGACCAGCAAAGCAACTAAATCCCCACCATCCCCCACCTTAAATCAATTAATTTTCCACCGGCATGTCTGTTTAAAACCGCTTGATAGATTTAAGTGACACATGAAAAAGACACTGCTCCCTGCGTGACCTTTCTGTTGCCTCACCGTGTTCGCCTCAAAACATGACTCATGGATTCAAAAATTGTAACCTCAGAAGATAATCGTCTCTCAACTCACGCAGTCCTCGACGGATTTCACAAAAAAGCCTGTCGTTCTAAAATAGAGCTTGGGCCAACTGAAGTATTCTTAAAAAAATAATGTCACTGCAGAATCTGAAGGAAAATAAAGCGCCACAATATTCACTGCCTACGCATGATGCTGCATGAAAAGGCCTCACAAAGGGAATGCATGTCGATGTATAGAAAAGATGAAAAACTCTGCATCTCAGAGCCTCTTCAGCTTGTGAGAAAGTGCCTTTGATACTCAGCAGTCCTCATCAAAATGCAAGAGATCCTCGTGCAGCTGGCCATCATCTGCTGCAGTGTCGTCACTTAAGAACGTGCTTGATGATATTTCCCCCGAAACAGCCACAATATGGCCTCTTGAGTATTCATATTCATATTTAAGCCACCATGCAAGGACTCGGGTAGGACTGCATGTTGAACAGCTGTTTTTTTCCGGGGATGTGTGAGATTTCCATTCATTACCTCCTTCCCCTCTGTAAAGTCTTGCTCACATGTTTTTCCCTTTACACTGCCATGGCATGGAGCGAGCTGGAATCCCAAGCGAGATTCAGGCGGAGGGTTAGTGATACGATATGTGTGAGATTTTCTACCTTATCAGCCTCATCCGACTCGCATGAGCCCCGGGGAGTTCTGAACATATTGTCCCGACCCATTCAGTTACCATTTCAAGTGAAGATTCTCTCAGCGGGTTCTTGCGCTAGACAAAGCAGGTCTGCAGATTTGTTTTTAGTCTGTTTCATTTTTAACATCTGGGCACAGCAGCATTGCTCTTTCTCTGCCCTCACTTCCTCGCTCTTTCTCGGCTGTCAGTGTTGCCAGTGCTGCCTCTGCCTACATGTTCAACCCCCCCCCCAAGACCTTTTTATCACAAAAATAACTCCTGGATTGCACTGAGCGGATGTTTTCTAACAGTTTCAGAATATCTATTGCATTTTCTAGTCAATCAAATGTTGTGGGATTATATTCTCAAAGCTTTCTTCCTGTCCTCCACAGCGCCTCCGAACAACATATCAGTGGTGGCAGAGAACACTCCAGCCCCATTCAGTCGATACCAAGCGCAGAATTTCACTCTCGTCTGCACTGCAAAAGGAGGGAAACCAGCCCCATCGGTGAGTTGCTGTTGATGAGGGGCCTTGCTGCTCGTCCACTAGGGACCTGCCTTTCAACAGATCTCTGTTGTTTACAGAGGAAGAGAAACAGTGTTGCATGTTGCTGACAGCGTTTTTTTTATTTTCTTTTAGATATCAGCACACAAAACCACTCAGTTATGTTTTTTTTAACATTCCAGGAAAAATGCTCTGTAAACAGGATTTAAAAAGTTGCATACCAACAGCAGAATCCTTGATCTCAAGGCTTCCCACAGACATCCAGTGTTATTTGATAGAAGATGAAGGTGGATACAAGCTCCTCACAGACCATGCCACACATAAACATACCCGATTTCATGATAAGGTGTACAGCAAAACATTTGAAGTGTGTCATGATAACGCATTTTAGGCTTTTTGCGTAATACTTAACGCCACGTCGTTACCGTGAAAAGGCTGCAGTTAAGTTTAGGCAACAAAACCACTTGGTTACTTTTTGTAAAAACATCATGGTTGGGATTTAAATAAGTGCATAAACTAAGGAAACGTGAATGGTACATGAGTATATCACATGTTATCAAACCTATTCATGTTTGCAAATGAATTTGTCCATGGAGATGTAACGGCATGTTCCATCTCAGGAATCTATTTCATCAGATATAAATCATCAAACAGGATTCAGTGAGTTAGCATACAGACAATTTTGACAAAAAAAAACGGAACTTTGCTGATTGATTATTTTCTTCAGATGCCCATTTAACAGGATGCTTTCCACATTTTTAAAGTGAACTCTGGGTGATTAATCAGCATAATTTCTCATCCCAACTCGTGACATAATGACACTTGGTCAGGACCGTTGGCGTCACTTTCTGTCACTGGATAGCCCAGCGCGTCACTCCACTGCATTTGCAGCAAACCCGTGGTTAACGTTGTGAATTCAAACAAAAACACTTTCGGCTTGGGGACAAACATCATGGTTGGGCGTAACATAAGTACGTAAACTAAGTAAAAAGCAAACAACATAAGACTACATGGCGTAAAATGACACGCAAAAACAAAGAATGGCGTTGCTATTGCGAGCTAAATGTATTACAAATTGTTTTGTCATTCATACGCCATTGTGAAAGACCTGGCTGCATAACACACATATAGTGATCCTGCTGTTATATTCACTACAGATTGACCTGTGATTGATTACCAGCGCTAATTCAGTCATGCAATGTAGTCATTAAATAAATAAAAGGTATCACATTCAGGAAACGGACACATTAATGTTATTGATGGTCACACTTAAGGTAATGAATCTCATCCCAGTGACATGATAGTAATGATTGCACACAGAACTGCCACTATACACCCTCTTACATGTACAGTACATGCAGTAACACACCAATGTGCGCATACAACCGAACACACACTTCAAAATTACACTTGCACTTTTTCTTTTAACTTTTTGAAGCGCAAAACAAGGTCTTGCAAAAAAAGCACTCAGTATGCTCCTGTGTTTGGTGGCATATGAGCTTACGGACGCAGTTTGAGAGCCGGCGCTGGCTGTTTGTTCCCACTGGGTCATTAATCATCGTCCATGGGTATATGGTAATGGACTCCAGACCCTGAACATACCCATCTCCTGCAATTATGAGCCCAGTGAGAGGTGAATACAAGGTGAATATGATTTCCGTCTCTCAGGTACTTCCTGGCTGATGGTGTGATGAGTGAAGTTCTCCTCCGTTGTGATTTCACAGGGAGCCTTAAGCCATTAAAGCTCAGCATTGCCGGATCCTCTTTCCAACGCTTAATGGAGGAAAAGAGATCCTGAAAGGTTTCAGCCGGTCAGTAAGCCCAGACTGCCACTGTGTTAATGGCCATGTCACGTTGCTGATAACTACCTTTGTCGATGACTCAGCAAGCAAATGATCCAAGTCACTGACTTGAGATAAAAATCCAAAAATAAAAGACTGTTTGGCCGCTCCATTCACCACCATATTTGCACATTGCAGAAAAAAGATCTTTTGTGTGAGATGTATTGAAAGGTTTTAATATTGACTCAAAATGCAAAGAAGCCTTGTGCTGCAAAGACAGCTCATGGCATTCAATCCAGCAGTCTTATTATTACATTTTAAGTATCAATACAATCTGAAAGTACAATCTGTTTCATAAACCAAACCATAATTCTATCATCTCATGAATCTAAATTTGTTCTCATTCTTCCGAGAAGTTTGATTTTATAAGTACATGAAGAATACTTGGATCAAGGCTGAATTTAATTTGAGATTAGGGTTAGTTTAACCATGAATTTAAAAAAGTCATCCTTGTTAGTGCAACCCAGCTCAAGTATCATAAAAAGCAGATTATTTGACACATCTTGCAGAGTCAGTAAAAGAGACAATGATGAACAAAAATCATGACGTTAATTAAAAATAATGAGCTTTGTGGGTTGCCATTGTGTCCGCGACACATAAGAAACTCATTTAGTGAACCTTCATCACACTAAAGATTTCAGTTCAGCAGCCAGACAAAACCATTTTAAAACAAAATGCATTCATTGGATCTCCTGGACAGTCATCTAAAAGGAAACACTGAATCCAATATCATTCTAAAAACAACAAGACATGTCTCCTACATCTTCAGATTGGCTCTTTTTTTATCTTCAAAGTGGCTTTTTCTAAACAATTCTATTTTACCAGAGAAACAGAAACACACCGCATGTGTTCTCGGTTATTCTGTTTGAAGTCGGGTAGAGATAAGTTTGCTAAAGTCACCAAACTTCATTTGTGTTGTTCTTTTTTGTTAAACATCATGAAGGTACAAGTTGTTCCACTCTGGCAGATGAAACAAAACCAACAGGAGAGTCAGATTATCGTCAAGCACAGTTTGTACACACCCACACAGTCCCAAGAAGAGGTGTGATTAGCCAATAAGTGAAAACACCTGCGTTAGCACCGTGAGTCTGACGTTCCTAGTGCTCTCACAGCATGGAAGTGGTTTACTTATAATTTAAACATTGTATGAGCCAGAAAACTATTGGAGCCTGGATGGAAACTAATTTCAAGGTCACTAATTTGCCCTATCATATGATATTTTTTAGGCAAACAGACAAAGTGTTTGCACTTATTTGCAAGATATTAAGAGATATTAAGAGAAATCTGCATGATCCAAGGAAATTGAGAAATATAACACTTTCAACTTGAGAAGTTACTTTGTCTCCGTGGGGAGTTGATCACGGCTCCGTCAAAGTTGCTTTGTACCGTTGGTCTCAATCAAAACCCAGCAAACAAACTGACAGGTTTCATGGATAGATTTTAGAAGTACAGTCTCACTCAGCTCCCCAGCCCTGCAAACCTTTCTCCTCTTTAATCTCGTTTTAGATCTCATACTGTGGTCCAGTAGCAATAGAAAAATAAATATTAATTCGTGGAAGAAAAAAAAGAGTCCTTTGAGAAGTAGAGCTTGCTTTCATATTTGTGTTTGGTATATTTACTATGCTTGGTTATCTAAATTTGAACTGTTATATCATAGCGGGTTAGCTCTGTAGCAAACTAGTTAAATGTTGCCAGAGGATTTGTCAAATCTTAATCAAAGCTCCTGTCAAAGTTAACAACGGGTTGCAAAAAGGGCAATTACAACATAAAAGCATTATGGAGTCATTGTTAATCATTATAACTTATTGCAATTGACATGATCCCGATTATGTTTTAGGAACCAGCACAAATATCACATTCAAACAGTGACCAATTGTTATATTTATGCTGTTGTCCACGGTCATGCAGCATAACAAAACCTCATTATAAGGTCTGTAAGTATTTGCTTGGATGTTGCTGCTTTGTCCCAGTTGTGTGACTGCAACTTCAAATGGCTCCCTTTGCGTTTTGATGAAACTCATTTAGTCTTTGTCGGTGCTGCTGCCCCGCGGCTTGTTGCAAAATGAGCTGTTGTCAGCTTATTTTCAATGTCATATCATTGCAAGCCTGGTCTTAATAGTGGCTCACAACTTACAAAATAAATTGGCCTTATTTACTGAGCCAGCTAAATATGACTAATCTGTATTATGTCTTATTTTAAAGTATCTTTGTTTCCAGATATACCAAAGTATGTTTTACTCTAGTTTTCCAAAGATGACAATGAATGAATTCCTTAATGCACTGAATATAAAGATTGTCCTTCATGTGGCATGGATTTGGGATCAACAAATTCTGTACTTACTGTATTTTCAGCCCTTCAGCTTGCATATGTGACATATCTCAAGTCATTCATCATTCTTTATTATGAGATTTACAAGGGATACTGAGTGAACGTCATGAATCATTTTGTATAACCTGCAATAGCTTTTTTTGGCCATTTGAGGGCAGCAAAAACAAATTACAAACAGATCATTGGCATATCACCTTTGAAGTCCAACCAGCACATTCTCACACCCAAATGGTGAAACACCGACAGCGTGATCAATGGCCCTACGCTTCAAACTATGACGCCTAAGTACCCCTTTAGCATCAGTTTTGGATGTGTCTGGGACGCTGTGTCAGTTCCCGCTCTTAACATGCAGAGCGTCTCTTTCAAAATAAACTTAAAACAATAAAGCTCCGTAGTTAAGCAAAGTAAAACAAGTCAGTGTTGACTTGGTTTCACACGGGCCCCAAACAGTGGTCTTTGCGGTCTTTCTTGCTCTTTATCCTCCTACACCCCGCGAGGACGCCGGCGTCCTCGCGGGGTTCAGGCACCCTGAAAATGTTGTCCGGAAAATGGATTTATTGTTTGCTAAATATTGTGGAATTGTAATTTTTTTTTACCGGATTAAAAAGCTACGTATGGGCAACACTATCATATAAGTCACTTTTTACACACTCCAAACACAACTATAGACTACTAATATAAGCATCTAGAAAACGTGTCATAAAAGGACATAAATAAATCGCCATCATATTTAACTGCACATCGATTTTGCACCACGAAGCTAGCGGCTAGGCGGCTAATCCGTACATCGTTTAGCAATAGCATCAGACAGAGAACACAAATACCTTCGGTTC